CAGTGTGCTTCAACAGTCAAAAAGTTTGCTTTTGCTTTTAGAATTTTTTTAGATTTAGATAGGACAGCTAAAGAGAGCAGGACATTGCTCGGAGGAGAGAGTGGGGACATAACATGTCGCAAAGGGACAAGGTCAGATTTGAAAACCCCAGCTGCTGCGACCTCTATACACAGGGCACGTGCTCTATCCGCTGAGCTAAACCAGTGCCCAAAATGTTTCTTTTGTTTGATAACTTGGTGTGAGAATCTGTCCTTAGCTAGATTGTATTGAACCTGGAACTCCTGGAGCTCAATGCGAGAAAACTTTGCATCCAGAGCAGACATTTTGTGATCGATGGAGAAGAGTGTGTCACAAACCTCACACAGGCTGATGTTTCTCATCATGATGTATACAAATAGGACAGACTTTTTTTAAACCTGGATATGTACGCTTGATTTGTGTTTTTTTTATATATGTTCTGATACGAGATATTAGGTTGTAATGGACTTGATTGTTGAGAATCTTTTTGAGGTTTCAAAAGGAAAAGTTATATTATTATTGTTGTTGTTGTATTGTTGTTTTTGGAAGTGCATGCGACTTAGTCTGTGATTATAATGAACAATATGGAGACAGACCAAAACAGTCTATTTTACACATCAGGGAAATCAAATAAACTCATCTTGATTACAAGTTGTGGTGGCTATATAGTAAAAGTCCTACATTCATCTCTCAGTTGTGGAGAGACTTCCCTTGCCAAATTCTCCACGTAACTAATGGTTGCTTTTTTATTGTTTTGTTTCACTAAATCTGCCATTTTCAACTAGATTTGTTTTATATATTTTAAATTAACTTGATCTTTCTTGAATCAAAGCCAGGAAAAGCAAATGAAGGGAGATGGAAATTAAGGACACAAGATATTAAGTAATTTGTTATAGCCAGGGGTAACTGATTAACCTCATTTGAATTACAATGTGAATTATTAAAAAAAAACAAAAAAAAAAACAACATCTTTTTTTTTTTTTAACCTAAATCCAAATCGAATCTCTCTGCTTTGATTCGGCCTGCTTGGAGCGTGTGCACTAACCACTAGGCTACCAGCACTTCCCTCAGTTTCAAGCTAAAGATCTGTCACAGCCTCTCTGTTTCTAATCCGTCAAACGTTTTCTGGTTTAATGCAGTCCAGTTCACCCACCAAATACTTGATACCACAGCTTGAACATCAAACCAAAGGCAATACATGCACTCTAAAAACACAAATGGAAAAGACAGAGGGTTTGGCACATGATGGGATTTTGAAAGCTTAAATTAGGGATTATTAATTTTTAACTTAAAGGACTGAGAACACTAAATAAGAATACATTAAAGTTTTTAACACTGCCTTATGTGAACGAGTGATTTCCAAACTATGAAAAGATTCCAATAAAAAGACGAATCAGTGAAAAAAAAGCTTGATTTTCAGGGGTCTATATAAAAAAAAGGAAAAAATAGTGGACCAACAAGTTTGTACCTGATAAAATAAACGTTTGTTATGATACCAACTGACTTGATTTCTTTCAAAATTAGTACTTTTAACAGAAACCTCTAAATGATGAATATCTGGCTTTAGTTGCCATTTAATGTTTGTGTCAGGCTTTGCTGTTTGATTTCCTAAAAAAAGGCTACTAATAACAAGGGTGCTTTTATTTACTTTCTTCCACATTTTGAAAGCCTTTTAACAGTTGATTACTTTTAAATGAACACTTAATGAACTAAAACAAGCTCATCATCATCTCTGTTTGAAAAAGAGTAATTCTGTGACACTTTCAATTTATGCAAGTACAATGAGCATTATAAAAGTATCTAGATAAATGAAAGGTTGGATGAAGATATTCATACTGCATGTCAAATAATTTTTGTGATTTTTTTTTGTTCAAGCTCTACCATGCTGCTATTGCAAATTGCAAGTATCAAATGGAGGCTATTAGGCAATGTAGCCTATTATCACTCACTCAAGTCGTGCAGACTGCTGAATACGATCTTTCACCTGAGCACTTCTAAAGTGCCAGTTTGGCAGAACAAGACTCTGGGGCAGGACATAAGCTCTACTGAATAGATGTGACATTACTGCTTCCTTTGCTAGCTGCTGTTTAAAGGATGACACCTGTTATATGTCAGCTCCTTATACTCTTTAATACCTGCCTCTCTTTTCACAGAACCAAGGCCAAACAAACACTAAACAAATAAAATGCTGTTATATAAATTCTTGCTTAAGAGCAGATGTTGAATATATATTATTTTCAAAGTTAAAAACACTATAACCTGGGCCTACCCGTAGTTGTATCCTTCTCTAAAATGTCATGCTTTTCTTCTTGTTTTCTTTTTCACAATTCTTTGCACTGGCATCCCTAATCCTAGCTGAACTCAGACTTCATAAAATTAGCATTATTAAAGAATAATATCAAACTTTAATGTATATAAGTGCTTCTCCTGGGTCCATGCCCAACTACCTTGAAGCAAAATCATACAAAATTGCTTCCCAAATATACATACTCTGACTTTCAGCAAATTTCATGTGCAAATATTAGCTTCTTCCTCTGGAGAACTTGAGTAAGGTCAACTCCAACCTTTCGCCACACATTCAACTCTTTGATATTTTTCACACTCCCTCTGGCCATCCACAGCCCTTGAGCCCTCAGCCGAGTTGTGGAAAAAATTGCGACCTAATGTAACAGTCTGATTATTTAGCATTCTGTCTATAATGTGTGGACACACATGTCATGTGTTGAGCATGAACAATGGAAAAAGTTTGGAGTCACTTAAAAGAAAAACATGGCTTAAGTCGTGATACAAAGGCAGGAAGACTACAGCTTAATGTTTATCAGCAAATGAAGAGTTGTCATCAAGATGTTTCTTAAGCAATGTAAGAAAGCTTTTACCTGGTTAAGAATCTTGGTTATCACCAAGGAACACTTCAAAAAAGCTTTGAAGCTTTAAGCGTCATGCACATTCAGGTGCTGCTGCGTTGAGTCATACTCTGTGTTGCAGTCGTTACAACCTACAAGTATTAGACAACCCCTCTGCAACTGAATCAGATCAAAGAAAAACTTAAGATTGCTCACACAAAAACATTGTTATACCATGTAGTAGAGATAAATTATCATCACAGCACAAATTTAATTTAAGGCCAATCTTTGTAATGTATAAAGACAAGCAGAAATTGGGAAAAGACTAATAAATCAACATCCATTAACCCCTTTAGCATGAATACATTTCCATAGCTTTGTAAAGACAGAACTACTGAGAAACCACAACCTTTCTTTATATTTGTGAAACAGATGCAAACACCCTTTTTTTCCAGCATCCTCAGCTGGTTATACAGTAATGTGTCATATTGCTAACTTATTCCTCTGACCAGGATGTATGGCATTTCCATATCCCAGGAGTGTTACAGCTAGAGTAGATTCAGTATCCAACATGGAAAAACCACCTCTTCAGGTAATGTTCCCACTGCCTTCACAGTTCAACACCGCTCTTAAAAACCTGGTTTAGTTCTGGTGACACCTGATTCTTCTTCTATTAGACAAAAGTAAAAGACTGACTGACTAAAAGCACTCTTCTCATAGCGCTCAATACAAATATTAAAATTGTAAACACAATCAGTGGATAATCTGCTTTAGCCCTCCAAGCTCTCCATGTTCAAATATTTGTCTTTCTTGGCCAGTCATTCTGCTGATTCGGGTATTCTGAGGAGAATCTCAGCGAGAAAGGTCAAACTCAGATTGTAATGCAGCGGTGTGTGATCACACACTCTTCATTACTCATATCTCAGCAAAATAGAGTGGCTCGACTGTAGATTATGATGCTGCTGTTAAATGCCATTCATCACATGTTATCATTTCTCACACTGCTGCAGTTATTGAGTGTGTGCTCTTGAATGTGCTGCGTGCTTATGCATGCATGTGTGTTTCTCTTGCAAAAGAAAACCTGACACTGCAGCTTGTCTTTGAACATCTGCATTAAGTAAGAGAAGTTGTTTCCCCCAGAAGAGAACCGTTTTTGAGAAGATGAAGCAGAAACAGAAGGAAGATTGACATATGTAAACAGCACAGGAGAGGAAAGCGGGTGTGGAGTGGGATTTACCATGATGTCTGTTGGCTGGAGATGAAACAGAGTCAATTCCCAAATTATTACAGTGAAATCTTAGGCTTGAAGTATTATACTGGTGTGTAAGTAGATAGCTCACAGCAAATTTACTTGTTGGTTTACTTTAACCACACTCAGCTTCAATGTTGCAAAACTAACGCATCAGATTTGAGTAAATAGCTCTCAAAACCCAGCCTACAGGCAGATGATTACATCACGTATTAAACCACAAATAATTAAAAACGAAGTAAATATTGGACATACATTTGGGAGGTTATCAGAAACAAAGCTCCAAATGTTTCCTAATGTTTCTCCATGTGTGCAAATGCACCTGCTGGCTAACAAGTGGCCGACACCATGGTCTTGTAGGTTCAGATTGTCTTGCAAATGGTTATAAAGAATGGATGTCCCTATCATTTTTTTTTTGTCCCCAGTCCAATTCATTTAATCTGGAGCATCTTTTGACACTGACATCACAATCAGGTACCTCTTTTTTCAAATCGATAAGCAGCTGAGGGTTGCATAATGTATATAATGTATTCTTGACCTTCAAATAGCCCTGGCTTTGCCAATATGGTTTCTATCCTAATTAGATCAGGAAGAGCTAAGTTAAATACCTATTTAACACAGCCTGAAACACAAAAAATTGAATTGTAAAAACACAACAGCATGTTGGGATCACAACTGTGATCTAAAGTACCATGATTTTTTTAAATGTCGCTTAAAATGTGCAATTTGTTGCGCACTTACATTTTTATGTTATTTTACTGAAAGAATTGTTTTAACTTACAGAAACGTTATCATATTCATCATCATCAACATCATCATCATTATCATCAATCACTAGTATGAGAATATATGGGTGAAATGATCACTTAAGTATCCAAATGATTCCCTACCGTGCCAAGTATTCCCCTGAGCTGCCATTGCTTTGTTGTACATCCATACAGTTAGTGGTTCCAGGTATGAGTGCCAGGGCAGGATTCTCCTGGGCTGCACTGCCAACTGCCCGTGCAACCAGCTCCACGGAGTCATGGACGTAGTGATCCAGAGAAGGGGACCCCATGACCCCATGTGCCAATAGCCCCAGGGGCAATCCCTCTGTTCTCAGCTCGGCCACATTCTGACTGTCCCCCAGAACCCAGTGAAAGTCTGGGAGCATTATCCGAGTAGCCAGAGTCCAAAGGCGACGTACTTCGCGAATCTCGCACCCAAAAGTAACCACTCCAGTTGTTGATGATGGTTCTCTTAGTGCTTCCAGCTGCCGCATGAGAGCCTGCTGCTGGTCTAATTTAGAGGATGAAGTGGCTGAGGAAGCAGAAGATGAGGCAGCAGGAGGCAAATAAGGTAAAGAAGACAAAGATGAGGACGCGTCTATTCCTGAAGTAACACCTGAAGCCACTCCTGAAAGAGATAATGAAGATGAGGAAGAAGTCGAGGCAGAGGCGGTACTTGTCAGATTGACAAGATTGCCCAAGTGGAAGCGTGTGTTGTTCTTGATGAGAAGGAGAAAGTCACTAATGTCCCATTCTTGACAGAGCAGAACACTGATGTCCCACCAGCCATTCATCATCAGCAGGGAATAAAGTAGACGAGATGGTGGGGCCTCTACGGTCTGCATCGCCATTTGGAAATGGAGTGGATTCTGTTAGAAGATCATAAACAGGAAACAGGTGTGATGGGAGATGAATTGGACAAGCAGGAGTTAGACGTTTAAACAAGGAAGATCAATAAGTTGTTTGGATGAAAGAGGGAGATAAAATAAACAGAGAGCAAGATGATTTGGGAAGATAAATAAGATATATTTAAGGAGAAAATAAGGAAGAGTTGAGAAAGATTTGATGGATAGTGGAACAAAATAAAGAGGTATGACATAAAAGCATAGGACATGGGATTGGAAAGGTGAAAATGAGTAGAGGGGGTTTGTAAAGCAAACAAGCAGGAGGAATTACAGGGAATGAAAATGTGAGATGACAAGAGTGATAAACAAGAATTGATGGGAGGACAACGGGTTGGCAAGGGTCAATTGTATTTCACAGAGGGCAGAGAGGACAAAACATCAGAGGGTGTTTTTGATTGCGGGGTGGTTGCAACAAAGTGGGAAGGGAGAAATCAGAAATTGGATAGAGGTTAGAGGTTAGAGGTTGGAAAGACGAAAAATGGGACAATGGAGATATTTGTGGAGGAGTCGAGGGGCAACAGGAAAAGGGAAATGGGTTAAAGGGGGATGGAGTAAGAAAATCAAGGAACAGAAGGAAGAAAAGATATAGTAAAGTGGAGAGGAGAAGAAGAGAATGACAGAAAGGTTATAAATCCAACAGTATAATTACTTTCTATCTTGGAATTCTATTTGTTCCTGGAGAACAAACACAGTCTGCTAGATATAATGGATTTTAGCCTCCACTTACTTGAACCCATGAATATCATTATTCACATCATAAGAAAAACGATTTGTATTTCTACTATGTATTTTAAGCAAAACTGAAGCCCTTACGAATCTTAAGTAGACCCTCAGAGGACTCTTAATTGTCCTCTGTCAATTCCAAGGGAATTATTTCACACATGTATTTCAAATTCATAAACTCATTCATTGACGAATGAGACCCGGACAGAACAATGGTTAGAGCACTGTAATGGTGTGTGATTTTCAACCTGGAGCAGGAATTCAAAAAACATGTGGTCTCAGTGCTTAGCCCTAGAGACATGTGGTCTCTAGGGCTTATTGTGGCCTACCAATCTCATCAGGTGATAGTCAGAGTTGTATCACAACTGTCCTAAGTACAGGAAACTAGGAAGGGCACCATGAGGTTTCAAAACTTCCAGATCGGCTCCTCAAGTTTAAGGCCATTTAGACCTACCTTCATAACATCTAGAATGGAATGATTTGGCCCAATAGCCATCATAGACAGGGATTAGATGAGGATTTATTTTTGATGTCCTTGTTGGATCAAGGCACCAACTTTTAAGGAGGCAGTATGAACTGCATGAAGCATTTGATGCCATGAAGCTGGCCTTCATGACCAGCTGGCAGCAGAACAGATTTGGTTCTGCTTCAATCCACCTGGTGCTTCGCACTTTGGTGGATAACAGGAAAAGGAAGTGTGATCTGTGATGACAGCCTTTCACACCATATCGTGAGCTCAGCTCATCTCTGAAGAGTCACATAGGTCCATGTATTGGGCTATTTTTCCAAGGACACTGCAGACCTGGATCCTGTCATAACAAACTCATTGGAATTACTCAGTGTCTCAGCTTTTTTTTTACCCACAAGACGTTAGAAAATAAATATTTTTGTGGAACCGCCCTATAGAGATTATGATGTACAGCGTCAATCTCAGCCTTGGACTCTGAATCATTTCTCTTCAGCAATCTTAGCCAAGCATGGAAAGGTGGCATTTCCCTCAAATATTATTTACCACCTTCAGTAAAAATAATACAATGTTACTGTTAGAGAAACATGTAACTACTTCAACCGCATTACAACATTTTTTCTTCTCACTTGTCCCTTTGTAACCTATCACATTTTCACATTCAGTATAATGAAATGGTACCCAGTTGGCAGGCATATGTTCCTGTGTAAGGCCCTAAACCAGATCCGCCTACCATAATTTCATTTTACAAAAAAATTGGAGACACAAAAAATTTGGTCATGTTGGTTTATCTTTTATCTTTTATAGTCAGAATTTATAAAATTCCCTTTGGGTTCCTTTATATATTCTTCAGGCAGTACAATGAAGACTCCATTAGATGTTTATATTTTTGGTCACATCTAATGTTATTTAGAGGTGACAAGTATCAAATTTGATGAAATACTCAAAATGCAGAATTTTGTAAAGTTTTTCAGCAACTCACTCACAAATATCACAGTGTATTAGAACTGTAACATTGCACTAGTTTGAACAAATTTAGATTTTGGGATTAAATTTGATAATACTATTAAATAATAGAATGGTTTGGCTCATGGTCACAAACAAAGTCAGAAGGAATTCTAACTCAAATTCCCACTCAATGTTTGACTTGATGTTTTGGTTTGATAATAACTTTACTCTTGTGGCTCACTCCTACTGCTAAATCAACTTCAATTTCAGCTGCAGTAGGGGATGAAAAAGACCTCAAACCACTTTGTACTGGCTAGACATGAACACCATAAAGGATTCAGTAGCTGTAGAGCAAGATAAGACCTTTCAGAAGTCAATAAGAAGTTTACTGGGGTAATATTGGACCAACATTTGTAAATGGGCCAGGAGCAAACCAATAAGTCCAGAAATCAATATTTGTGTAAGTATAAATATCAAGGGTGTTAAAATTCACCAATAGAAGTTGAGACTGATTTTAACATTAAAAGTATAACAACAACAGTCTGCTTTGGTCTGGTTGGAAAAGAATATAATATGAATCATTTGATAGCCTGATTCTAAAGCAATACACCTTTTACCGAGGTTTTGTTGCTTATTCTGTTCCAAAAGCGTGCCAAATCTCACGGGTTGAGACAGCATGATACAACCTATGCGATGGATGCAAGAATTAGCAAGCAGCAGCCCAAATATAACTTTACTACCCACAACTTAGCAAAGTGTATGATAATTACAAAATCTTTGGCCAGTTGTATTGCAAAGATTTACAACCCTAACGTGTAGTTGGGAGTGATTACTTTTGTTAAATGGTTAATACATTTGAGCAAAGTTACAAGATACTAAGATACTAAGATACTAATCAGGCATCATTTTGTTGATTGCATGCCAGAAAACATCAATTTCAATTTAAGAACTAAGTGTCAAATGAAGAGCGAGCGAGTAACAACCAATGCCTGACCACCATGTTTACATGTTTACATAGGTCAATCAGAGCAATAATACAAAAAAAAGAAATAAAATGCATTAAAATGTTGTTTTTCACTGTTCATTATTACTCTTTTAACACAACAGCATTCTAATTACTCTCTCATAAGAGAAGAGACACAGAACTTGGGAGAATTAAACTTTGTTTTAAATGTTTAAATGAGCTAAAGTTAACAATACCTTTTCATATTTCTCCCCCCAAACAACTGCCAACGAAAGACACCTGGGCATGGTTGTGTGACAAGACTTCAGCTTAAAAATATAGAGCAAAGATATTTGTTTCCACAATTGGCCTATTCTGCTTTCTCTCACCGACCACATTTGACAAATTTACCACCTATAGTGCTTGAGATAAAATTGTGTACTCCAAATCAGGCTGCATGAGTCGCCTGTTCTAGTTCAGTGTGCCTTGGCAAACTATACCCTGTGTTCATCATGCCAGCCATTCAAGCGATCAATTAGTCACACACTCTCTTGCATACACTAAAATACAAACCGAAATGACACACGCACACTGAAAAGGTGCTATTTAATAGGCTTTATAACTTTTTCATGAGATTTTCACTAAAAGTCCATTAGATTCATCTTTTGGTTAATTTCATCAATCCCATTAATAGAATTAATAGAATCATTATTCATCTGCTTAAGAAATAAAAAGGATGACTACTGAGACAAAACAACACCAAAAGCAAAACTACAAATGTTTCCCTGACAAATAAAATAAATGCTAATGCATTGCACTGGACATCAGACCTTTACCTCCTCTCGTCCCTAAGGAGGATTGGAGGATTTATTCTCAGCTGCAGCACTTCTGCATTGTGATCACCATAAATCTGTATCCTTTTCTTTGTTCTGCGTGTAAATAACCAGGAAATACACACATAGAGGTCTATTGCTTTTCGTTACACCTGAAATACCAGCTGTTATCACTAATATCTTCTAAAATCTTTTTATCTGGGATTTCCACAGCTAAAATATATTTACTGTGATTTTGAATTTGCAACCTTCTCTGTACAGTAACACAGCAGGGGCTGGTAGATTCATGGGCTGGTGGTCATATCAAATTAAATAAATGAATTGGCTATTGATCCACACCATAAGATCATTAATTATTGGGAAAATCTAAAAACTGATTTAAATGTTGTTTTTTTTGGTATATTAATTACTAGATTACAGTCTCCCATTCATAAACTATACATATAGAACACTGTCCTGTCCCTACGACCATGTCAACATTTTAGATAGAACTGTTGATTTTGCACACGTCATGTGAATCTTTTGAAATATTGAGGCGTCCTGGGGGTTCTCAATATTGCTCTGCTGTCACAGTAAGAAATCCCTACAGACTCAACTCCTAAGTCACAGTCCAATAGCTGTTGCCTTACATCCCACTGACCTCCTTATGTCACTGCCAGCTTGATTTATGAAGGTACATAATTACACCAACTCTCCCCTTAGCAAGCAAAGTGCTAGTATCCATCTGTATCCATGGACGTATGTTTAGGACTCACAGTAACAAATCCAATATACTAATCAGCATTAATACTTTTCTAAGCATTTGGTGGAAAGATATTTAAGGTCTTTATTCTGTGTCCTGGTGTGTACTAAAACAACAAGTTTTAGTACACACGACAGTGTAACACATTTATTGACATAATAATTAACAAAAAATACTTGTAAAGATTACCTCAAAATGGGGTTCATTTTAAATTTCTGCATGCATAATAGAGACATCAGTTACTCACACACTTTCTGTCAATCATATAATGAGTAAATAAAATAAACTTACAATAATTCTTCATTTTGATTGGTATTTTTTAACTTACAAATTAAGTTGTTGATTGTGAGTTTACTCTGAAAAAGTGTGCTTAGTAGTCTTCCTTATCACTCAATTATGAGACAGTTACAAAGTTGTGCGAAAGCCAAAGAAGAATTTATAATCTGCTGACTCCCTGTAAAGTTAATAGGTTATTTATGTCCTCTTAAAAACATGTTAAGAGTCTCATATTGTATAGCTTTGGACAGCCTTGTTTACACGACCGCAATTGTGAGTTTCACCTCTACAAGCATTTGCAGGTCTGCCAGTTGTGGACTAATAAAAATGGCTCAAGCTGGACCCTAACCCCAACCCTTGTTGGGCACCCAAGAGGGCCCGCCATTCAGTTCCATCCTTTTAATGTTGGAACCGCCATTGGTTAAGATGTATTGAAGTCTGTTTTTCAATTGTGTGTAACTTTGTGTTAATGAAATATGAATGAATCAGCTGTGCATTGTCTGTGGTCAAAAAGTTGATTTAGCGTTGGATGGAATAAAGAGTCTACAGCTCGCATTTACGTACAAATTGTGGTGTCGAATTATTAATAAATGACCTTGTCGCTTGAAAATCAATGCACTATAACGGGTGCATTTTATCCACTGGTGGTTTTAGTTTTGCGATTCTAGGGTTAAGGGTCACCCTAGAGGTCACAGTATGAGTTCCAGTCTGAAAAGGCAACCTGAAGGCATTTTCTCTGTTCACTACTGGAAAGGCCTTATCGAGTTCTGTCCACAGAAAGGACACACTGGAGGGGACTTCATCATGCTTCCTTGCACATTTGGCCACCAGAGGGGACCTTTTTGTGTGGTTTTTTTCTATAAAGGCACCCAAGAGGGCATTTTTGCAAGTTCATTTTTTTATTTTTCACATAGGGATAGATGACCAGTCAATCCAAAGCATCTATGCTAAGAAAACCACCTTAACTTTTAATCAGCAACTATTTGACATTTTTTGCAAAAGGTGAACAATTTGGCTAAAGATTTATTCCAAAGTGTTTACACATCAGCATATAATTCACAGCTGTATCAGATCAACATGGTGTATACAGTATCCCAGACCACAGTCTTCAATTTACATAACCCTTCCATTTTTAGGTCTGTACTCACGCCCTCCAACGTAAAGGGAATATCATAAACATGTTTTAATGCTAAGAGCATACATTCTTACATAATTGGATTAGGTAGCAAGAGTTATTTGCGTAGATGCCTCATCATCTCAGTATGATGCTATATCTTCATCTCTTACTCTCAAGTGTTGCGTGCCAGCATGATATCAATTTTCTTCAAATCAGAGACAACTGACCTTTCCAACGGGTTTCCTCTCTTCAGCTTGTCGCAGTTTCTAGCCCTTTGTTGAAATATGCTAAAATCCTAAGATTTAAAGTCCCTCACTATCAAACTGATCCCACCTGGCATTTTCATCCTTCATCAAAGATCAGTGCCTGATTCAACATCACACCCTGTTAACGTTGTAGCACCTTAAATATAAATGTTGTTAGGGTGAAACAAGGCAAGGGTAGAAAAAAGGTCATCAACTTAATAATAATGAGATGGTGACAGCGCGCGTTCAAAAAGTTTTCACAGTTTGCAAACTGCACTGGAGAAAATGTTTCCAGCCTTCAGTTGGGATTTGCTGGCAAAACTAGTTTGAGTCAGAGGGGAGTTAAGCCCTAAAAGTCACAAATGAGAACTGCAAATTGTTTGTCGGGCTGTCGTTTTGCTATACTCATTTTTCTCTGCCAATTTTTCTATTCATCCTCCCGTCCATCAATCTTTGTCTAAGGGAAATCTGCTTACACCTGTTCTTACACTTTAGACACCTGCTTACTCTTTACAGCCAAATGCTCCCCTGTTTAAAGAGCAGGAAATTAGGTATTACTATGGACACACACACACACACACACACACACACACACACACACACACACACACACACACACACACACACACATTACTATAGCTCAGTAGGTGGCAAGAGTCCCAGAGCCCTTCAGTCTAACTAATGGGTTTAGATGTGTGTGTCTCCTTTGTGTGCTGAAAAAAAAAACTCTGATGCACTTTGGCCCACCCAGGATGATTGTGTATGCAACGTCAAAAACACACACACTATAGCTGTTAGTAGGAACTAATTTATATGTGGTACTTGCCCTGTTTGAACCACCTTATTTAAGAGGTGTACAGTGCTTTGCTTCCCAAAATCATTGTGAGTAAATGTCTCTGTGTGTCTACTTTTACTAGTCGAAGACAATTATGCATGTTAGTTACACTCTTTCTCTCTCTATCTTTTTCTTCCTCACAAATTCTTTAAAACTCACAAATACTCTCAGCAGGTGTCTTTTCAGAGACCGGGTAATGACAATGCCTGTGATAAGTGTTTACTCTTTTAACTTGTTTTCTCACTCTCTTACTCCAGCTGCAAACTCTGCAGATAATCTTCGTTTGGTTTATTTGACACAAAAGCAGCTTTTCAGCTCTAAGCTGTTTGAATAGGCATCAGGTCAATCTTTACCTAACCTAAAAAATCTAGAGGTAGTTTTCTAACCTTGTCCATTCATTTATATGGCAGCTTGATCAGAAAATGATCAGCTTTAAACGATTATATGAGACTGTTTGGAAAGTATTGACACCTCTTGTCCAGAGTTTAACTGCATTTGTATCTCTCCAACTCCATCTTATGCTATTGCTATTGTCTTCAAAAAGAAGAAATGGGACAAACAAACCTCGGAGGGAAGAGGTTAGAGATTTCTTTACAAGCATTTGGCAAAAAACAGACAGGGCAATAACAATTCAGAGTCATTAGAATATGACCTGTGTATAACTTAGAAGAGCAAAATAGAGCAAAATAACAGAGAAAGAGCGGGGAAGAATACTTTTGGACAAACTGTTAAAGCAGTGAAATGCCAGAGAAATGCTCTGTATGACTTACATTCACCCCTGGAATAGGCAAAATGCTAAATGTGCTACTCAATATTTTAAGTAGCTCTGCATAGATAAGTCTTACTTGTACACAGATATAATAGTTGGCCAAAATTTGGACAAATCAATAATGTTGGGCTAGGTGTCAGCACAAATTGGGTTTATTGTGTGTGTGTGTGTGCGCAAGAGCCTGCTGTGCACTTCTATGTTTTTTTGCCAAAGTGCTTTTTTTCTACTTCAGGTACACAGAAGGGGATGCTGAGATACAAAGAAATAATGTCTTTATGCATCTGTATAGGTCATATTGTGCTGGGTGGACATAAGAGATACCCAAGCGTACTTTAGAATTCAGCACCATGGACAGAGCCTTTTTCTAATATCCCTATTTGATGCTTTATGTGAACAACCAGCCGATAAAAAAAAGAAAAGAAAACGATGTCCTTCATCTCAAGGAATGCCTAATATACAGAGGAAAATGATCAACAATCGGAACTCCCTCAGCTTACGTCTAAACGAGGGCCACTGCTGTGTGAATAGGGCCTTTTAAATGTTCTAAAACTGAGAACTATATGTTTTCGTAAATAAACTGCTTTTGGGTTCTCTGCTGTTGGACACATTTTGATAAGTTTACCGGAAAGCCTTGTTTTTGTATTCCAACATCTGGTATTTATTTGCTGACACGATCCACTGCAGTTCTAAACAGTAGTTCAGATGCAATGAGAATTTTTTTTTTTTTTTACCTCACTTTGGCGCGTAAACTCCTTTTGCACAACGCTGACGACTGGCACCTGGAGAGCGAGCGACACGAACTCCAACTTGACGAACTCGTCCCGGTTCCGTGGAAATGCGATCATGGCAGAAACCCCCTGCACGACAACGGTGTGACACACGCTCTCCAAGAAGGACAGGGGGTCTTCCTCTGCGGGGCTGCCCGCAGATGAAGAGGAGAACGCGGGCAGTTCGCCGAGTCCGGACCCAACAGCCATTACAAGCTCCAGGGATAAATTGTATGGCAGCAATCCGGCCCGATTGAGAGCCTCGACCGCGAGGAGGGCCGAGTCGCGGGGTGCGAACACGCTGTTCTCCCTTGAGGTGTTCTCCTCCCGCTGCCGTGCCTGGTTCTTACTTCTGCTGCCCCCCCGCTGGCTATTAACGGTGCCCCTAGTCCTGAGACTTCCATATCCAGACGCACTGACACTTGTTTCAACCTGCTTTTCAAAACCCAACCCGCGCTCAGGGCTTCCTATCAAACCTCGATCTGTATCCCGATCTTCAGAACCACTTCCATTAGTGGCGGAGAGCAAGCGAGGCTGAACTTGCAGAGCCCCAACTCGAACCGTGTGGCCAATCCGTTTCAACACCTGGCACGGCTGTGGGTGCGAGTGAGCGCACGGCGGGAGAAAGACAAGAGCGCACAGAAATAAACAAACTGATGGCGAGATCCAAGTGCCAGCTCGAGCTGCCAGGCCACTCATCATCATCATCACCAGCGTCTTCACCTCCCGTGCTCCACAGCTGCGCCGGATGCCCCGTCCAACCACAGAAAGGACGAACACCGGGGCCGCCCCGTTGGTCCCCCTCCTCGTCCCCTGCGTGTGGCTCTGACGGTGCGCCACTCAGACAGGCTGCAGCCCCCGCTCCAGCTCCGGCTCCAGAACGCGGCAAAGTTATGCGTTCCTCCGCAGGCACAGACAACAGGCTGCTGAGGCGCGAAATTTGGCACGAGCCGCGCACTAGCAAAAAAATATCCTGAAAAGTGCTGTTTTTCATCTCAAAAGATTTTCATAATTCAAACCTCCTGGTTGCTAAATAGGTATTCGAAATCGAAACGTAAAAAAAAAAAAAAAATCCTCATATTCCAGTGGTAGAAAAAAAATGAGGCAGAATGTGCAGGCAAGCCAAGAGGAGAGGCTGTCGGATAAAAGGGTTAATGCGCATCAAACACATTCCAAAAAAGGGAAATCCACCACTGGGAACATCTGATGGCTTCGAAGGAAAATTATTCCATTACCATCCAAAGCTGCAGGAGCCAAGTCAACATCACTACGTCCCGGTACACTGGATAAAAAAAAAAGGAAGATTGTTTTCCCCACTTGTTAAACAAGCCGGGTAGAACCTTTCCAACGCGCGCGCGCTGCTAGACTCGAGTCCACCCGTGTAAATACACTTGTACCGGCGAGACCTCCAGCACAACAGTGCGGTCCTCTGCGCACGTTCCAAAGAGATTTAACCCTGTCCTCACTTTACCCCCTACCCCATCCCCTTCAGCAGTGTCAGGGGTAGAGGTTACAAATGAACAAGTTGCGTAACGTAAAAGAAACATTGGCACAACTAAATGATGATAGATAGATAGATGGAGATAGATAGATAGATAGATAGATAGATAGATAGATAACATCATAGCACATCCATCTATTTTACAACTCAACAAGTTACACATTGTGTAAGGATTTATTTGACATGTTATTTTAGAGAGGACTTCATTCAGAAGTATGTTTTTTTTTTGCACCTGTACTTGTGGTTGCATAATCGTGCAAGTTGTCTCTGCTGATGGAATTATGTTTGCATATAACACCTTAAAGCCTGTTAGTCTAATGCAATCCAATACAGCATCCTGGCCTAGAAAACTACCAAAGAGATAAATCAACACTTCTGTTACAGTCACAGCAAAAGCTTAGCAATTTTTGGCTTTTACAAAAGGGTCTTTATTTTCAGGCTGCAGAATTGCACTGATGATTTAACTAATGTTTGCACCCTCAGTACTTCTCAATGTTTTGGGCTTACTGTTTTTGAAAGAATACAAAGTATATAATACTACCTGCAACTGCTGTGCATTTTATAAAATGGTTTTCTTCAGGCATGAATGCTAAAAAATAAAATGAATCTCACATCTGCTACCATGCTCTTTTAAATGAAGCTTTGTAATGTAATTATTGTTATCAGGATAATCTAATATCCATGCATTGTAAATATGTCAAAAGAAACTTGCACGCATTCAATAATTTGATTTAATGTCATGAGAAAGGATTTGAATGTCGAGTGTCTGTGTGCATTGACTCGGCTAATTTAGACAAAACCAGACAGCACCCTGCTCTTAATGAGATTGTTTTATTTAATCATACCTAAGGACACCCGGTAAGATCGTTAACAGCTGCTGAAGGGGCCAATGTTTAACTGATGGGCCTCATGTTGCTGTGGTAACCCACAGGCCAGAGGTCACTATTGACCCAATCAGAAGCCTCAGCTGAAATAGCAGCCCAGATTAATGATTGGTTAATAGTCTGATCTAGATTAATGATTGGCTAATGGTCTGTCTTGGAATGAGGGGCTCAATGACCCTGATCGATCAGATATCGCATGACCTCAAAGGAACATGGGCGGGATAGAGAGAGAGGGGGGGGGGGGGATTTGACAGGAGGCAGAGGAGAAGGAGGTGGTGACCGGAGGGGGACTGGTGGGGAAGATTTAGAGAGAAGCAGAGGTGATGAAGAGGTAAGAAGAGCTGAGGCTTAAGATGGGAATGGGGGAATTGAAGGGAGGAGAGAAGGATAGTGATGAAAGGAGAACGGGGAAGAGCAGATGTGTATGCCAAGGGAAGAGGCCCTGTAGAATTGAATGCTGTAAGGACAGGAGAAAAGCAGAATAGGTAAATGAGGACCAAATGTGTGGAGTGAGAGGTGATGCAAGAGCTGCTTGGGCTGAAGTGTATTTAAGGAATTGAGGGCGTTACAAATAAAAGAGAAAGACATTTTACTGGAGAAGATGAAACAAAAACAGAAAATTGCATTGAGCATAAAATTCAAGGTGAGATTTGAGAGTTGATCTTCGAAAGAGCCATCATAATTTTTGTTGCACCAAAAAACCAATTTCATTTTTTGTTGCTATTAAATTGTACCCTGTGCAGAAGAATGAGATATCAAGCAGTCATGTGCTGCATAGGGCTTTTCTGATAGCTTCATAGTCACAGTGTTCTAATTCCAGCTCTTGATATAAAAAGTTTAATAATACATTTTATTATAAAAATGTTGAAGATTACCTCTGCCACAGAAATTGAGCTTAGTTCAGTCAGTTCAAACTTGATATTTCCCCATTGGCATTTCATATGAAAATCTGTTTTTTTGTGTTTTTACTAAAAGAGGGCTAGTCAAAATGTAAACATTTTACATTTACATTTTGTATCCAGTACATTTTATTTGAGCCTTCGGTTTGACATTCTTGTAGATAGAAGTACATCGAGAAAGGCAGCTTCTGCACAGATCATAAATGCTACAAATGCAACAGGTCTGTTTCTATACTAGATTATTACAACCCTTATCACCATGTACTTGTACTGGCCAAAAGGGGTCTATCTTTTACTTATATTCTCTGTCGCATTATGATTATTATGTGTTGAATGTAAATGGAGTGAAATTAAAGCTGCTCTCACAGACTTTACATGACTCCTCTCTTTTTTTTTTTTTTTACTGGGACCTATAAGTTAATTATATATATATATATATATATATATATATATATATATATATATACACACACACACACACACACTTACATAAATTGGTACATGGCTTTGTTGAATACTCCATTGTCAGTTATGAGATTGAAAGGTCTGCCTCTTTTCCCCAGACTGAAGCAATGATGAAAAGCTGTCTCTAACTCAAAATTACACCAGGACCACATTAGATCATATCAATTGTCATGAGTCTTGGTGCAGTCCCTTATATGAATGCAATACTTTATGATGTGGTTAAGATGTGGTTAAAATGTTTTCCCAAAACATCTTTTCCTTCTAACTTTCTTTGCTGTCCATAGCTGGTTTTATTGTTTGTCCAACTTCAGTCTCTTTATCTAACTTCAGAGGTACCTGTCCGTGTTTCTATGTGTCAGTCGTCCACTTTTCTCCCTGGTTGCTTGCACATCCCATTTTGCATTCTTGTCCTCTTGCCACGGTGGAACACCTATAAGTCTACCCTCTCTTTTGTCCCTGTCTAAATATCTCTCTGACCCCTTGTCTTGTTGTATAACCATCCATGTCCCTGTATGTCTGCTTTGGTTGTCTGATTTGCTGATCATTTCCTTCACCTGTCCGCTTCCCTGCTGCTCTGCCCTCCTTTCTGTCCTCTTCCTGTGTCAGCATCATTGTGTAACTGTCTGCTAGTCTGCCGCTCTGCCTCCCTGCCTGGCTGCATGTCTCTCAGTTTGTCATCTTGCAGTATAGTGACCCTGCAGAGTCAATGACCCTTACACCTGCCAAGCAAATTCTTCCATGGTTCAATTCCCACACCAGCAGCAGGGATTATGAGCAGATGAAACCTGAAGAAAAAATATATATCAAGGTTAGTGCACCGGTTAGACACACCTGATCACATGGGTCTACAGTCATTAACTTGAAGAGTTGAATTGAGATAATTAACATAAATAAGCACATTCAATTTGACAAATTATGTCTTTTATAAAGCTGAAAATGTAACTATTTTGAATATAAGCTTGCAGGGAAAACAAGTATAGGGTTATTAATTAAATCCAAACTCATTCTCACTTAAATAATGTTTCCTTGTATTTAAATACATAGCTCTATGAAATTGTCTGTAATAGGTGTTAAGGACATTGTACAAGAAGACTGATGGAAATTGGATCATTATTAGTATTCATGAGATGTGTTAACTTTGCAACTTTGGTACAAATGAACAGTACTGTTCTGTTCTACTCTGACTGAACAATAACACCTGATTTAGTCTTGTTTGCATGAAAGCCTTGTTACACTTGAACCAGCTAAGCAAACTTCAATTTTAATTATTTAATCCCCTCAGCAGTCTGCTGCCGCAGCTTCCAGCTGCTGCTTTAACTTTTAAAAGTGTCTTTTTTCTTTCTAATTGTTTTCAGCAACTACAGCTATTGTTCAGAGAAATAACAGTGAAATTGTGTTAACCAATATGATGTTATACACACATTGTTAAACATTATATACACAAACCTGCATACCTTTTTTCTCTGTTGTTCTCCTCCCTCGTAAGTCTCAGACAAAGGGATGTATCCATGCAAGGCAGGTGGTGAGAGATTACTGTTGTTTGTCAAAAATCTATAATTAGGGTTGCACTGAGCTATGAAGTTCATCCAGTAGAAATAAAAGTTGCACTGTGAATGGAAATATGCAATTTCAAGTTTTGGGGTTTCAAACCATCTCTTCAAAACACAGAAAATTCACAGAAAAAAAGAAAGAAAGGAGAAAACAGAATGATGCGGATAAATAAAAGACGGATATGTTGGCAATCAATCAACCCAACACGGTGTGACTTTAACTTTTACAGCACTGTTCTGCCAAGGTCAAGCAGCTAAGCCAAAAAAACAGGAATGACACTATTTTTCAGTGTCTCATACATACACAGTTTATTTCAACTCACATAATATAAAACAGAATGCGCTATGTTCAGTATGTACTGTATTACCTCTAATGTTGCACCTATAATGAATGAACATAAATATAAGCTATACACATAGGGGGAGCAGTTTCCCTCTGCATCTGAAAGCTTTTAATGCATGCTATCCCAAATGTGGAAGAAAACCACACAGTAACTAAAGAGTATAAATGCTAAAAAAATAAATTTCGGAAGTTTTCAATTATGAAGACAGGCATGGAATACAAAGAGCAAAAAAGCTTTCTCTTTGAATGTAAAAATACACATAATAGTTCATTGCAGTGTTGTAAATAAAGTGGAGCAGGGACAAGACAACATATCAAGACTTTCACATGAAATGGCAGGTTATAGTGGGGATTAAGTTTCATACAAACCCTTAGTCTGGAGTGGGTCATATATTTGGTTTAATGAGGAATACAGCAAGTTAAATTGGAAAAATAAAATGTTGGGATAGCAGAATTCACAGATTAGTTTCGGATACAGAGCAAGAGAGTAAACACAGCAGAAGTCTCCTCTTTAACTGTTTCTGATGTTTTCTTATCAGCATTCAACTACAACAGTCCTTCCCCCCCCAAAGCCCCCCTTTTTTTTTATCTCACAGACAGGCAGCCTGTGTCAATCTCTCTTTGGGCCATTACCCCAGATTACACAAAACAGATTTGGCAGAAGAGAACAATACCCTTGTTTTCAGACGGCCACCCAAAAGACAGCGGGTTGCCATGCAGACCAAGGCATGGGGAGGGATGAGTCCTGTAATGCTATGTCGTCAGCCTGGTCTTGTTTTGTTTTTTCGCTGTTGCCGACACTGTAACCCCCATCCCATCCCCCACTCCCTTGTCCTCAGCGTGTTTATTTTACGCAGTAAAACACATACTGCCATGGAGTCATACATGGAGTGGCAAATGATAACTGGTTCTCATGTATAAATAGATATTCAAATTCTTGAAAAGCAAAATGAAAATACACACAACAACCAGAATATTTGTCTAAATTTTGTTATTTTTGTCCAATTATAGAATTATAGACTCAACAGATATGTACTGTTTTTTTTTTTTACACATTTTCAAAGACATTAGTATCACTTCTCAGCAGGAAGAAGGTAAAGGAAAGTTAAAAGACTGCAGGAGCTGGTTTAAAGCCCTTTGATTTGACTGCTGCAGAGGCAAAGTGGAAGATTTGGGCACGACAGAAATGAGCCCAATGATTCAATTCCTCACATTCATTTACACCACAACGGATGTTTGAGAGCATGAGCGGAGTCGAAGATTGTCTGTAAAAGTAGAATGAGTTTTGGGCAGGGCGATTATGCTGCGACCCATTTCTTGCCCTCTGCTTCTCCTCTGCCCTCTCAGATTTCACTACACCTGAGACACAAAACTTTGCTTTTGGAGGGAGCTGCTTAGCCCACGCCCGTCCCATTAAGAAGAAATGTCTTTGCAAAGCACTTCAGATGCTATAACGGAAGAACATCCAAGGGCGATGCTAAGTTGCTGTTCCTTTATTCACTTTTTTACATTTCGTTTTTTTTTTTTTCTCAGTCTGACAGGAGCTCAATCAGCTTGCCTGATGTGCAGGTCTACATGACACATTTCTAAGGTCAAAGTGTTGTTAGCTTTGACTCCTTTGTAAGACTCTGCAATCTTGCACCCATAGAAACCTTTGTAAGAACTTTGTGAACTTTATAACGAAGAAGCATAAAAGACTTTTCATTAAGCGTGACTATTTATTGATTCATTTTACAAGATTAGAAGAATACAAAACTCTCCGTGCTTGAAATAAAGCTGAGATATATTTCTAGCATTTCAGCTAACTGCATCTACTTTTATAATGCTCAATTATTAAGATGGTGTATATCAACATTAAGTTAAATCAAATTAAGTACTGTACCATCTGCAACATGTGCCCAAAACAGCCACACACTTTGACTTGGAATATTTGACGCGAGTGCAGGAAATCTATCTATAATATTTTGTTACTAAGGGTGAGACCATTTTTTGATATAAAATATGAATTTGGGTTTGTTGAGTTAATATCTCTGAATATTATTTTTGTTAATTCAAAATACTTATACAAGCTGTACTTTTAAGTGTGTATAACAATTTGTAGTTTCTGTAAAACCTGCTTGTTTGTTAGACTGTGAGAAAGAAACTCTCGACTATAGTTTTCTTTGGTGTGTTTTCTATCAGCGTGTTTGGACCATGTTTTTTTGTTCATGAAGTGAGAAGAGCCAAATGATGGTTGGCCATTTTACTTCTTCATGACATTTGAGTCACTGCTTCGCTGCACAGATCCAAAAGAAGGGAGAAGAGACCATTTTTGTTGCTGCAACAGTTGACTGCTCCTTTGTTCGAGGGTGCTTTGTGTCCTGGTGTCCTTGTACCATGGTTAATCTGCCATTTTCAAACATCGTAATGGATTCAAGTAAAGCATTCACAATCTGCAGCCTCATCCTACATGTCACACTGTGATCCATGCTGTGTTAGGTAATTGCTTCTGCAAACATCAGCAATACATAATCAATACCTCTCACTCATTGCAATGAGATGCTTATTACAGCGGCTCATGTGCGTTTCCATTTATCCGGCAGACGACACCGGCAGAGACAAGAGAAGGCTAATATTGACACAGACCAGAAGCTATCATCTCTTTGATGCTAATCTCATGCTGACGTTACAAAAAGGCCAAAGCTCTTCATATCAATAGAATGCTAATATGCTCACAAGCTCAAATAATAACCTCATTGGAAGAATGCTGATGTGAAATGCTATATGGCAAGATAAAATCTGACTTTTAACAATGCCTCTGAGAAATTGTGTGACCTACTCTCATTCTTGCATTAGTTGTTTAAATAAGAACAACATTTTGTAATACAGTCCCGTCAAAAACATAGCGAACAAAGTGGTCGTACAGACAAATCCAACACAATACCCAGAAGGCAATATAAAAATGGAATACCAAACAGTAAGGTCAAACCAAACCAAAACGTATTAGGCGGTATTGTAAGTAAATACAAAGAGAACAAGTGAAGCGATGCAAAAGCAGTAAAAAAAAAGCATATTTGAAAATGTCTTTTACAAAGTGAGTAATAGGGTCTTTACTCCTCTGGTAGGTTCTTCCAAAGCTTAAGGGCCCTGATGGCACAAGCTCGGTCAGCTTTGAAACAGCCAGATAGGAGCTCAGGTAACAGACTTGTTCATAGGGGATCAACACTGTCAACCAAATCTTTGGACTAGATGTCATCTACACACTACTATGCAGGGAGGGCACCAGAGCATTTGGGGGTTCAATGCCTTGCTCAAGGGCACCAAAGGAGTACACAGGAATGGACCTGGCACCTCTACAGCGTCCAACTTTGATATTTAAGTCCGCATTGGGACTTCCCAAACCAAGTCCCTACAGACTGAGCTACTGCCACCTCCAAAGCCAATAAGTCAAATAGTAAAATGAATTCAAAGTCAAGCGGCCCTATGGGAAAGAAACATGGATTGGGGTGATGTCATGTTGTCTGTTCAAACAGTAGGAAGCATTCTGAACTAGCTGGAGGTGAGAAAAGGGCGTTTATAATACTTCCATGTGTCTGTAATGTCTGGAGAAAATACGCTAGTTGAATTACTTTTTTTCTAGGTTAAAGTATTGAAAGAATAAAAGGCATTCAGTGTAATACAATGTTGTGAAGGTTGCAAAACATGAAAACTAGGCAGCAAGTTTCAAAGAGATCGTACACACCAGAGGCTTAGTGAGGGTTTCATAAAGTTAAAGAAGAACCAATATTGAAAATGATCTCACATACTGTCTAACACTTCAACTTGATATGTTCAATTATTAAATTGCTGTAGACTATCACCTGGTGGAAAAAAAAGTATATTAAAGCCTTTACATATTTTTCCTCAATTTAGAATGAAAGGTAAACACACCTTCTTCAAGGTGAAGTATCTCTACATCCCCTCACTCTAGCTCTAGTCTGCAGGAAAATTGCCAAGTATGAAAATCCGAGCACTTGAATGTTAATAGATTGGGTCTGAATGGAATGTAGAACAGGCAACACGTTTTGTAGCAATGGTGGGGATAAAAAAGCATATATCTGTGAATTATTCTGGAGGTAGATGCATTGAGAGGGGGGTGATGAGTATCAGCCATGGTGAACCCCAGGTGATGTCTGGTGAAGATGATGGATTGCTTGTCAAAAAAGACAGTTTTTCTGTTGAGGTGGGGTGGGGGGGGGGAAACCAGCACAGTGCTCAGCTTGAAATCTCCAGTACTGTTTATAAAAGATTCATGGACATTTTCTTGCTTAATTTGAGTCTGCATTTGTTCTTTGTGTTTGCCGTCTGGCTGACTTTATCCCTAATTTGTCAAGTGGGCTCTGCAAAAAAGATGACATATTATTATTCTTTTTATAATGATAACAAAGTTACATACTTAAAAAAAAGAGTAAGAGATGGCTAAATGCTTGGAGTTCAAGTAGAGCAGTTATTTAAGCAATGTAAAAATAAATACAAAATAGTATCCTAAATTCTTTAAAAGAGATTTTTTTTGCCTAAAAATTCCACAGACCAAAATGTGAAGGTCAGTACACCATGAGCATCTTTTCAGGAGAGGGGTCAAGCCTGTCGGAAATGTAAGAACTCAGAGCACGGGCCAATGTGTTTTGGACATTCGGCTGGGTATTATGGCACAGGCCACTGTCTTGAGATATGTAGGTTATGTATAAGCCAATGACTTTGCAAAGGGGTCTAAGTGCAAAATTACACAGGAAATTGGACGGAAGTTGAAACTGAAACTGGCTGCAGAATTCTGTGTTTTGAGAGGAGCACAGACGCTGGATCATTACTGCTCAAACATGGAGCTGGGCAGGAATACCTCTTTTATATTTGATAAAGATTATACTTGCATTGTGAATGCCTGTGTTTTTCTATTAATGAAGCTCTTACATTCAGCTTAAACTGTGTATTTCTTTTTATTTGCCACCTAAAATTAAAACTCTCGATGAAACAATATGAAAAGTTGGCTTACATTAGTCACTATAGGTAGCAAAAAGCTCTTTAACAGATTGTTTCAAATCAAAAGTTATTTTTTTAGATATTATTCTCCATACAGAGTGGAGCTCAAAGCTAATGTTTTGTTCAGCAAGTTTCTCCAACAGTTTCAAACATCTTCTGTATTGTCAATATGTATGTTAATGTATTGGCTTTGGGGCCTCTGAAATGAGCTGCTGGTATCCACTGAGCTCCATTTCTTTCCACTCAGTATACACTGTGTATGCTATCATAACTTTGTGGCAATTTAATCAAAGAGAAATGTATCTTTGAATATTGATGTTAGCATAAGAAACCATAAGACTGCATTAGCTTAAAACAATATTTCTTTCAACCTAGATCTCAGCTGATATAACAAAATAATAATTCAGCGATTAATACAGCTACTAAACATTCAAGCTGAGCTTTTGGCCCTCCTCAGAGGCTGTGGCTTCAGGGCAGTTGACTGCTTTACCTAAGTGGTGACCCAACCTTTTTTTAAATAAAAAGGAAAAAGAAACAACATAGCAATTTAATTGAACGGTTATCTCAGGGCAAATTTTAAAGGAGGTGTGTTTTTCAAAGATAAGTATTTTATTCCTAGATGATTTTGTTGAAAGAGGGTCTGATTTGACAGATGTTATGGCATATGTGTCGGAGTTATTGGCACTTACATGTGCTCTATCAGCAGCATCAGTGTGTTCATGTGTAGTGTGTGTGTGTGTGCGCGCAAGACAGCATTTTTCTCCTGCTGCATGTGACCAGCCCTGTACCTTATTGTTTCTAAGAGAGGATGTTTGTCTAGACAGATTTTCATTGGCAATAAACACTATCCCATCAGCTAAAACCAACACAGCTGTCTGAGATTATGTACCCATAACCAGAAATATTTAATTGCTGGGTAAACTCAGACTGCGCAAAACCGCATCGCTTCTCTTTGAGATTTATGAAAGAGGTTTAGACATATTTCATGCAATACCAGGGTTTATGTAGAAGTGTTCTCCCTGTAGAAACTGCACAAGAGCAATATGTAGAACATGTATTGGTATCTATAGAGCAACATAATATTGACCAATTTCCATCACAAGCTTGATCTGCAACAAAAAATGTTTCTTGCCAAAATGACTTTGCCCAGGAATGCAACTGCTTCCTTGCGTTTGAGCGAGGAAGGCAAAGTCGACATTTTATCGTATATTTCTTATCCTTAGCCTCCTTTTTTTTTTCTGGACGCAAACCACAAAGAGCAGACAACTATTCACACTGAATCACCTTCCCAGACAAACACAAACATATTTTATTAGACAAACTCCCCAATTAATATCTTTGACTGGTTAGAAATCTATGGTATCACTCAATTGTGTTAGCTTAGCCATGTGAATCTCCAGGGAGAATGACTCCCAGCTTAAAACATTAAATAAATAGATTGATTTTGTCCCACTGATGTGCTCTGATAAACTGCCAAACCATGAGGTAAACAACAGGAGGGGAGCTTTTTGGATGATAAACTGCATGTAATCTGGGCAAGCTGTCTGGGAGGCAACTAAATAACCTTATTCTAATGAAGCAGAAAGTGAGTGTAGCATGTCACATGGACATAATGTCAAACAAACCTGACAATGAATCATAGAGTGAAACTGTAACTTACAATCTAATTCACCCACAGATGTTCCTTGCAGGTTTCCATCCTGTCTACAGTCTAAGATGCTGTGGACACTGAGCGCAAAACATAATATCAAAGTAATCAACTGGAGAAGGTTTGGGCCACTAAAACATCACAACTCAATAACAGGCAGATTCATTTGCTTTATTGGATGTCATTTGTGTTATTATAATGTCAATAATTGCATGGATAAATGTCAAAACAAATGGTCAGACTAAATCCAGCTACATATTGGTGTAGGCTTATGGGTATACACATCATTTCAGCAGTAGTGACAAAGTATTACTTTAAAGAACACTTTACCAGCAATAGTTTATGATAATGATAACTAAGTGAAACTACATCAAAATTATGAGCTGCACCACTTAAACGTTTAAAATTCTGTTCAACACAAAAAGGAAAAGCAAGTGACATTTATAGATGAGTGAGCTGCTCCAGTGTCAGTCAGCAGGTGGGAGAGAGCGGTGCTAAGTGTAAACTCTTTATTCCACTTTAATATGCACTTAAGTAAATGAAGTATTCAAAACACCACACAGAAGGTAGCAATCCACTGAGCAATGAAAGCACTGTCAGATGAGTCATCCATCACTGTCATCTCGGTGGAGTTAAGGACTGCTCTGACAAAACAACTCAAAGTGTTTGTTTTACAATAGTGACTAAAAACACACTGAAATCATGGTGGAAACCTCTGATCCAGTTAGTGCCTTTTTAGGCCCCCCAAAAAAAGGTTTGCCTCCTTGAGAGAACTGAAAAAAATCAATTTCACAGCATCCTTTTCACCAAGTCCATGTATGCCTTTTGTCATTGTTTGTCCTCAAGGTTTGATTTTCAGATAACATAGCATTTGCATGGTCTTTTTCCACATGTGAATCAAATCTCAGGACATTGGAGTGTCCTCTGTGCTGAGCTTTCAGGCAAATCTCTGCATTATTTCAAACTAAAAACAAGACTAGAAAGATTCAAATTGTGATGGTTCAGTCAGCCAAACTCGATTCAAATGATGAGTGCGTCAGGTTCTCTGTTGAGCTTGTTTATTCATCAAGGTTGAATTCAGCGTGAAAACTATAACAAAGAAAATGCACAGATTAGCAAGGTGCTATAAACAACCTCACATAATTAATCAATTTCACTCGTAATACAACTATAACATTAATGCTAAGCTAATTATGCTAAGCTAAATGCTAAGCTATTGGCTAAACTAAGCTACATGCTAAGCTAAATGCTAAGCTAAGCTAAACTACATGCTACGATAAGCAAGTGCAAAATACAGATTCTACTACCACATTCTGTCAAAACAACTAAGGGCTAGCCACCTTGCAATCATACATAATAAATGAGTTACAGCCGTTGCTGTCTTAAGCGACACAAGTCAATTCGTTGTTGAGCTTCTCCAGGAGTTGGCACATCTGTGCTCTGATGATGACAAATGGAAGACCCTCCAACTTCCTGTTCCTTTTATAGAGTGCACACTTCCTGTTTCCTTTGAAACAAGTGCACTTCCTATATGAGTTTTTTGGCAGGCCAACAGGTGGTGCCATTGCAACACATGACAGAACATTCTTTAAGTGGATGTTCATGATCTAATGAAACACAAGATTGTATTGGATAAAATCACATAACCCTTTATCTCCAAAAGGAATGTGTTGACAACAAACCAAACTACATAGGATATGAAGTCATCATAATCAGAAATATGTCCATTTCATTCACTTTTCTGAACATGGGGAGTGCATTCTTTGGCCTGAAAAAACCAACTGAAGTCCCTAGGGTAAGGATAAATGTCAAAAACTTTCAAGAAAAACATTAATTCTGCAGCATTGTCAATCAATTATCTGTCTCTTTTGAAAGTCTCCCTCATTGATCTTTGGTCTCATTAGATTTTTTTTTCTTCTTTTCACAACTTTGTAATGTGGCATTTCGAGGTCAAGGTCAGCTTTTATATATCTTGATTTCAATGTGAAATCATTTCACAATGTGAATCGTGAAATTTATCCTGTTGGTGACTGAATAGCACTTAAGTCATTTCTTCATTTTTTGTTTATATCAAATGAACTAAATATCTTGATCTTGCGTTAAAAACAAAGAAGTCAGTTGAAACTGGATCACGCTGTGAAGAGATTCTGCTCTCAAAGACAAAGTGCTTTTTTAAAGTGACATTCCAAGCAGTGATCACAATGAATGCAAAAAGTGCTCGGGGCATCTGCTAATTCATTTAATAAGACCTTGAATCAGAGACACAGAAAACATTTTTGTTTGGACTCTAAATTGCACTTCAAACATGTCAGATAGAAAGCAGAGTGACACCCCATAACCCTTTTGAACTCAAAAGTGCTTCAAAACAATCTCTCTGGGCTCTAAAGAAAAATGCATATTCAAGGTTTTCTTGGCGATGGTTGACCTCTATCTCTGTTTAGTCTAAAACTCGTCGTCTTCACGTGATAGATGTCAAATTATTTCAATTACATCTCTCAAACTGTTCTATTGCTTTTCATTGTACTGTTCTTTTGGTTTTTATTGTACTGATAAAAAGAGGAAGCAGGAGACAGCAATAAGAGTAACTTTTATTCACAGAGTGAACATGATGTGGAAAAATGTCTCCTTTTATCATCGCTGTAAGTGATAAATGTAAGAATACTTCAGAGCAACCACACTGCACTTCCTAAACTTTCAGTGAGTCCTGATGGGGACAGCTTTGTGTTAAAAGGAGAAGTAATGAATGTGCTGGGCCATGATTCAGTCATGTTTTCCTGTTTTAATTCCTATAAGATATATTCTTTGAATTTAATATTATGATAATGATGTTGATGATTATGGTAAATGACAAATAGACATGAGCTTGTATAGTGCTTTTCTAGTCTTCTGACTACTCAAAGCGCTTTTACACCGCAGGTCACACCTACCCATTCACACACTGATGACAGAGGTTGCTTTGTAAAATGCCAACCAGAAGCAACTAATCCCATTCATACACACTCATACGCTGCTGACGAAGCAGGAGGGAGCAATTTGGGGTTCAGTGTCTTGCTCAAGAACACATCAGACATTTGGCTACAGGAGCTGGGGATCGAACCCCTAACATTCCAGTTGAGAGACTACAGACTCTACCAACTGAGCCACAGCCGCCCTTGATGATGATGATGATGATGATGTCGACAACGACCACGATGATGATGACGACGAAGGCGACGACAATGTTCATTATAATTTTTAGATTTCTTATCTAAATATTTAGAAGCTTTTTGGTTCCAGTTTTATTTGCAATTAGTTGCTTGGCATGCTATGAACAACAACACACTGGGGGAGACAGAACACAGCCTTCTTCAGACTCAACAAACATCAATACTACATGAGGATGTGCTGACAAGAAACTGATTTGGAGCAAACGTGTGTCATCCATGTAGACAGCAATCTCTTGTTGGCCCCCGAGCCACTTCAACCAAACCATTGAGTGGATTTTTCTTCTGCAATAACCTCTCCTTCACCTAACTGTAATTCTCAGGAAGAGAAGCAGACACTTTATGAATGACATTAAATATCCACAGGACATATAAAAGCAGACAGGAGGCCCTTTAGCTGCCTAATGTTACACTATAACAGTGATGGATTCCACCGAATGTACTGAGTTATGCAAATGCAGGATGAATTAATTAGGAAAAAAAGTAAAACCTTTGCCAAGTTGTCCTTACACTGTTCTTTTCTAAAACAATTAGCTGCTACAATAGTTTCTACAAATTTATTCAACTCTAATTAATATTTTACACTTTGTAATAAAGTGCTTCAGAATCTAATCAGGTCACAGACTGGGGGCCTGTGGTGTCAGTAATTAACTTTGTATACTTTTCTTTAGATATTGTGTTGAATACTAAGTTTATTCATTGAGTTAGCCAAAAGTACAAGACATATGAAATGGCTTAACTATAAAACAATAGACAGATGCTGGACATACTGTACGTGTGAGAACAGTAAATGCACAGTGCTGAGTAGATTGTTATACTGTACATGCAGCTTCCTTACATCTCTGGCAAGTGGTTTCTGCTGAAAATAGTCAAACAAAATCCCAGTAAGCAGGTCAGAGTGTGCAATGTTCACTGAACAAAACCCTCAGTATCGACCTGTCTCTCTTTGAAATCTGCTAAATAATCCAATAATATTTTGGACTTTCTTATTTCCGAGAGGCACTGGAGTCAGCATTTAGTTCATTTCTAAAACTTTTCTCTATTTTCTGTTTTGTCGAGGCAAGGGATTAAAGGCTCTGCAGGGGGCCCCCCTCGCCGAGGTATTACACTACAAGCTGGCCTGAAATGATCTGCTACTCTCTTACTGCTGCTTTTTTGAATCCCCGTTCCCTATTTCTGTATGTCACTCTGGCTGTCTGTCTCTACACATCTGTAAAATGTATGCAGCCATTTCTCTTCTACAAGCCATTACTATCTCTGACTGTGTCCCCTCCCCTCATCATAAATCTACCTCCCTTCATCCTCACATCATTTACACCTCCCTCTTTCCCTCTGCTAATCTCCTCTGATTTGGCTATTTGGTTTCAATCCATCCATCCATTTATCCATTTATCCATTTATCCATTTATCCATCCATCCATCATCCATCACCCATCCATCCATGTATTCATCAACAGTTTAGGCTAATCAATGAAGGAATAGAAAGAGGTGGAGTTTATTTTCTGCCTCCACTCTGTCACTCTTTGATTGCCTCACTGAGTCTTGTTCAGAAATAGACTCATCACAAACTTGCAGGGACTTAATAAGGCAGCAATTAACCATCAGCCAGGCTTCTGTGTGTGTGTGTGTGTGTGTGTGTGTGTGTGTGTGTGTGTGTGTGTGTGTGTGTGTGTGTGTGTGTGTGTGTGTGTGTGTTTGTGTGTCGTTTGTCTGTCCTAGTAAACTGATTTAAACTGTGCATATTTATGGACCTATGTGATTCCAAATAAATGTTTTTCTGCAGTGTGTCTTGACGTCTGTGTGTGTGTGTGTGTGTGTGTGTGTGTGTGTGTGTGTGTGTGTGTGTGTGTGCGTGTGTGTGTGTGTGTGTGTGTGTGTGTGTGTGTGTGTGTGTGTGTGTGTGTGTGTGTGAACCCAGCTTAAAATCCTAGCGATGGACCTCATCCATCATTTCAGCTGTTTAAATTATGAGGACACTTTGGCAGCATAATCCATTACAGATTTCAGTTCTTGTTATTTCTGTTCAATTATATGTATTAAAGGCTTGGTTGGTAATTTTTCGAAAAAACTGTCGTTTATTTTGAAAGCAGCTTTCCCTCAGCGTTCCGTCTACATCCATCCCCTCCACTCTGTGCTCCCTTTAAAGCCACGCCCCCTCACTTACATGCACGAGCGCCGTCTCCAGAAGTGGACCTCAGCTCATCCCTTGAATTGTGTTGAAGCTACGTCGCCTCGTGTCTCGTAGATGTAAAAAAAAAAAAAAGTGACTATTTTACTACTCACAACGGCCAACGACAATCGGTGACGCACTTTGAGTGTGGGCTCGTGCACGCAAGGGCTAGAGAACGAGCAGGGAGACAGGGAGGCATGATTGGTTCATTAAAATTGGTACCTTGTGGCAGACAATGGTCGAAGTTTTTACAGGCTTACAACTGATACAGAAGACTGATTTTCTTCGTTCCTTTTTCTCAGAGCACATGAATTATTAATTTCTGTCAGGACCTAAAGACAATTTCTAACAAAATCTTAAAATGTTTACCTGGAGAAAATAAATGAAGTCCTTATAGCAGAAATTGCAGTTTGTAATACAGTAAATGTTATTTTTCTATTGACTAACTGTACTCGAGCAAAATATGATTTTGAAGTCAAAAACAACAATACATCTTACGTTTCTATTTAGGTTAACTTTAAAATATTGTATTTAGTTGGGTTCCTGCTGAAGAGAAGTCATATTTTAAGACTTAATTAATAAATGGATGAATCTGTGTCCTTTAAGCACACGTTTTATTCTTTATTTTAGATGCTTTCATTTTCATGTCTTTGACTTCCTCTGGCATTGTTGACTCGATATGGCAGAATAATGCCCTTCTGTTAACACTCTATATGTAGAACTTTAAGAAACTGTAAATGTGGACACTGTTTCTTTCACCACTGTAATTACTCTGTTCTTTCAGATTTCTCTCTGTCACATTTCCTCTTTTAATTCATTTACTTTGAAGGCCTGATGATCCATAAAATAGAAGACAACCCCAGAGAGCTCAGGCAGTCATGAAATACATTTTGAAAAGCCCCAGCTCTTTCCCGGGTTTGAGAGACTGTATTCGGCTCTCACTTCTATGCTTAATGAACCTTGAAGTGGCCTTGATGCGGCATCAAGTGTTTTTCAGTTTTCTAAATTCACTGGTCCAGGAAGAAATCTGCCAACTAACGGCCAACTAGCGGGGCTGGTAGGTTTTCACTTTAATCAATGTGTGT